CGTGCAGCGCAAACCTCACCCCGTGAACATAACCCAGCTCCGATTTTACTCTCTTCTCCATCTCTGAAATACTTGATGAATCTTTTCTGTAAGCGGATGCGTCTCATCTCCGTTGTAGAAGAAGTAGACCTTATTATACATCTCCACCCAACTGCGTCCAGCCTCTTTCCTTAACCCTTTCATCTTAAACAGTTTTCTTATTCTCTCGCACTCTTTCCAGTACCCGACCTCAGCGTAGATGTTTGACAGCATCACATAGTTGACAGGGTTACTGCCGTCCATTCTCAGAAGTGTCTCTCCTACTTCTCTACCTATTTCCAAGTCCCCATGTATTCTACAAGCACTGAGCAGAGTTTGCTGTATTCCAACGTTTGGTTTTAAAGGCATGGTGTCGATGAGATTCTTAGCTTCCTTTACGCGTCCGGCTCTTCCAAGGAGATCAACCATGCAAGCATAATGCTCTACATTCGGTTTAGAGTAATGTTATTCATACCATGTTTTTGTACCACATTTCTAGACCACCTTAGGTGACATCTGATATGAACAGCCACATCATTTGAAAAATTTTGCAAAACCCAAGGAAAGAAATAAGAAAGACTTCTTATATACTATAATCATCATTTAATTAATTAGTTTTTCTTAACTATTAGTTTATTAAATAATGACCTAAATTTAAAAATCTGATTAATTCAAATAATGTGGTTGTCCACATCAAATGTCACCCAATGTGGTATGAAAATGTGGTACAAAAATATGGTATGAATAACATTACTATCCGGTTGTCGCAGCACAATCTTGAGAAGTATTCTTGGCATTCTTTGACTAGTCCAGAATGGCTACAGGCTGAGAGCACGGCTAAGTCACTCCATCTGTATTCTTGCATTTTCCTAAACAAAACCAAAGCTCTCTCCTCATTTCCTTCAAGTGTGAATCCGGCTATCATCGCGTTCCAACTGATAAGATTCTTAACTGACATCACATCAAACATCCGTGCTGCTTCGCAAAATTTTCCACATTTCGCATACATGTCGAGGATAGAATTGCTCACCACTGTCCAAGACTATTGTGTCTTGGACAGCAATGGTTTCAGGGTATACGAAAATCAGGTGCTACGCGGATGCTTTGGATATTTTCTGGCGCATGCAAATACTGGGTATTGAAACCGGATGAGTTCAGTTTTGTTTCCGTCTTGCCAGCATGCGCGCAGCCTGGAGTCGGTTTGTGTTGGCAATTCCCCGATTGAAATTTATGTGAAATGTGGCTGCACTGACCACGCTTGGCAGTTATTTGATCAGATGTTGGAGACGTATGTATTTCTTGGAGTACCATGGTTGCAGGGATGGCGAATTACGGGAAAGCTCGCGGAGAGGTTGAACTGTTCCGAAAGATGATGCAAAGAGCAAAGGTTGAACCTAATGGCATTACATTTCCAGGTCTTTTATCAGCCTGCAACAACGTACCTAGACACGTGGCAACACTACAACAACGTTCCTAGAGTCCCCCATCGACTATATACAAGAATGAGGGGCTTTGCTCGCTCATGAAAGGAGACTTCTCTCCCACAATTAAGCTCTTGGATCTTAGGACCACTAGTCCAGGCTTGGTCCTCTACTTATGCTTAGACCATTCCATTGTATACAGTACATTATTAATGAAAACTCTTATAAATGTGGACGTAGTCACGTACCCTAACTTATGATGAATCACGTACATCTCGTGTCTTATCTCTCTATCCTTATCTCTTTACATATGATATCACTGTAACTTAGTGACCAAAGCACCCTTAAAAAAGGTTACTAAACCACTCTTTACATTACCTCAAGGTCGACCGAATTTTGCACATCAACAAAGTCAACAAATTTCAGGAAAAAAAAAAAAAACTTGTTCATAAACAAAATTCAAAAGCATTTGTAGTTATTTATATATGCATGCTGTCATAAGCAATTTTAATTATATAAAAAGCTCATGACAAAATAAATAAATAAAGGTGCTGTCTGATTTGCTATCAAACACTTGATGACTTCACATGTTTGATAATCTAATCCAGTTTAGTATTTCAACACAATTATGAATTAACAAATAATCTTTCTTTAGTTACTTTTCAAAGGAAGATAGGCATGCGGCTATAAAATGATGACTCTTTCGGGGTTTACACTATTGAACCCTTTAAAGGAAAACAAGGCTGCTTGCTGACACACCTCTCTCTGCTAGTAACCTTTGTCTCATAATATGGCTTCTTCATCCAAGCTTCTTCAGCCCAAGACCATTTCCAACTTTCAAATGCTAACCAACTTTACCACAGTACTAAATCTAGATTTTTCTATGTATTTGATGTCATAATAAAAGTGAAAAAAATAATATATCTTTCCGAATTCCTTTATTTGTATTAAGTAGTGTACCATCTTGTATTCCATGGATTTTTCACAAATCGTCACTAACATAAGAAATATTAATTTGAAGAAAAATTCCATATGAAACACCCAATGTTAACAGTTAACAGGTAATGAGTTTTTTTTTTTTTCTACAATTTAATTTTGAAGTGTTTTGCACTAATATTAACGTGTAACGGATAGAGGAACTGCACTAGTTAAATATATTTGTCAAATGGGTAAATAATTATTAGGAATACAAGGGTAGTTTATATTTTTTGTTTTTTGGTGCTAGAAGCCACTTTTTTATTTTTATTTTTTTTAAACAAACGATATTATCTACACTAAAAGGAGGAGTGAGTTAAACTTAAGTTAACAATAATGTAGAAGAATACTACTACATTACTAGACCTAGACGGTAATACTAAGTGGTAAAAGGCACCTTAACCTTAATCCAACTTTAAAAGCATCCAAGTTGAGCCAAGTCAAAAGCTAGAGCCATCTATTCCAAGAAGAGCCGCGTGTGTGTGGTATGTCACACTTAGAAAAAGATGTCATATATATATATATATATATATCACACTTAGAAAAAGATGTCATATCTTTACATGTCTATACACACACACGCACATTGCTTTAGCTAATTGATTATCTAGATTCTACAGAGATTAATTAGGTGCACAAAACTCAGTCTTTGTCTTGGCAATGGGCATCAGAGAGTGGAGAAATTCACGCAGCCAAAGCATAAGGCTGGGACACAACTACGACATGCCAAGCAACTACAACAAGTCTCAACCAGGGTGGCAAAAATTCTGGAAAAGATTCAAGATTGAGAGGAAGAAAATTTTCGGTTCAAGTACGGTCATGCCGCAGGCGCAGGCATCTTATGATCCTGATACATATTCAAAGAATTTCGATCAAGGGACGGAATGGATGGAGCCGGATAACTTGCCGAGGTCTTTCTCAGCTCGTTTCGCTGATCCTTCTAGGGTTTTGCATGGCAATAGAAATTTACTGGATTGATGCTTTGAATGCCAAAGAAACGTTGTGTATGTACGTAGTTCTTGATCTTGGTATATTGGAATGTTTTTTTTTTTCTGAATTTTATTTGCTCTCTCTTTCCTCTTTCACGTTCATGGTTCCACATATATGATAATTACTTTAAATTTTGTTTAAGCATCAATATTATCGACCACATAACCTATAGAAAATGATTAAACTTTCCATATGGAAATAAAATCCATGTAAAATGATTGAATTTGGCCACGGTTTAGTCTTTGTACCTTAGCTTAATTTTTGATCTCAACCCAAGGATAAAGAACTTTCCTACAAAGAGTATATATGTCACTGTTTCCGCATTCTAAACCAATTTGTTATGTGTTTCAACTTTTTTACGTGATAGTGCATGATTGACTTGAAATACCGTTATAATAATATTTCCGTGTATATAAGTTTCTTTCATATAAACAACAAAATCTAGGTAATCTCTGAAATGAAAAGATCAGAAGGCAAAAGATAAACATTAGATTGGTCCAACAAATCATAGCCGTTGATGAGAATCTTACAACTGAAAAATTTTGCCAACAAATTACGCACACCAAAAACCCCAGAAAATCAACTTCCAAGTTTCAATTTTCAATCCATCAAATCAGATTAGAAAATCAAACCAATAATACCGAATAAAAAAAAATAAAAGATAATAATTCACACCAATCCACTGCCCTAAAAAATTGAATATTAAAGCAGATTGACTTGTAGATAAAGTAAGTAAGGGATAGCTTGATATAGATCCAATTTTGTGAGCCATTAGTAGAATTAGTCCACTTCATTGAAATAGGTCCAATAATTAAGATTCCACATATACTTATTTGTGGTTTGTACCATATTTACCCCTTAGACTTACGAATTGTTATAAATACACAAAATTTCTTAATTATGGGATTATTTGTCGTTTAACTAATCCCTTAATTGTAGGATTAGTTATAGCCATATAATCACCTCAACCCTAGTTCGTTTCATCCCACCTTTTTTCCTTCTTCCAAACAATTCCCTCTATCAATCCTCCTCTTTTTTGTCTCTTCTTTTCATGGGTGAGATTTTTGTGTTCTTCCTTCCAAATTCGTTCCTTTAATAGAGGTATATCATATCATATTTATATTTCTATGTTCCGCCATGTAGGTTCCTAACATTTTTCTTCCTATACAATAGGTAGTTTATTTTTATTTTGCAGGTAGATTATATTTGCTTTGTAGGTATAAAGCATTTTTCTTCCTATACAATAGGTAGGTAGTTACTAGATTATATCGGTTTTGTTTTCTTCATAAACAGTAGGCAGTTACTAGATAATATTTTAGTTGGGTATTTAAATATTCAAAATTTAAAAACTGAATAAATGATAAAAAAAATTAAATAATTTAAATATTTTTATCTGAAGGGGCAAAATTGATATCAAAATATGTAATTGGATAACTGGACTCAGTCCCAAAAATTACCTATGTTTTTGGACCTAGATCCAAAAGCCCCATAAAGTAATGAACAATAAAAAAGCCAATATAATCCCAACACGAAATCCGGTGGTCCGTGACTCAGACGACGGTTGCCGCACTAGTGGTGTGAACGGCCAAGATTGAATGATTCGGAAAAATTCTCTCTCATTGGCGGAACCAGAATTTTACAAATAGTAGGGTCATGATTTCTATAAAAAAAAAGAAAAAAGGTTCATTGCACCATTCCATCAAGCCTTTGGCGGGCACCTATCAAAATTTACTAACATTCGCTGAAAGCTTGTGATGACATCTATCGATAGTTGCTTATTCTTCTAACATCTACATCTGCCAAGCCGCGCCTAGGCTAGCAAACTGTCAAGACCTGCCTGCCAAGACTTTCTGAGCGAGCATTACAACATCATGTGGTGTGCACAACTGGGTTGCACACAAAAAAAGGAGAAGGAAGACACGGGAAAGAAAGAAGAAACTTGGAGAAGAAAGAAGTAATGCTAGGCTGTAATTCAACGTTGTTCACTCTCTTTTTAGTTGGGATCATAGGTAAATATACCAACAAATATACATGGAGTCAGGTAGTTGTGGGGTCATAAGCAGCCGTTGACCTCAAGCTGACTGCTCTACTGATCTCTCTTTTGCTATATATCATATATGTGCGTATGAGACTTGCGTAACTGGAAAGTTTTGGTGCTCAGCAAAATGGAGAGTGAAACTACTCACCGGAAAATGTTCTCACAAGAAACTCTGCCTCCACCGGATTCTGGCTGGCTGCCATGCACGGCTTATATAGTTTTAGAGAGAGAGAGAGAGAGAGAGATCACCAATAATCTCCACAAGAACACGAGCCGTCCTCAAACTTGTGAAACCTATTTGCATCTCTCACCAGAAACACCACCTTCAAAACCTTCGACAAGCCTTTGATAAATGCATGGCAATCCCCACACACTCTCAAGTTCTTGAAAATCCTAATCGTCTTGTTCCCCTTCTCAGTCTCACCACGCACCAACGCCAGCCCGATTGCCAACTTCTCACTGTGAAATCTCAAGCTCTCCTCCTTCGACTCCTCTTCCACATCGTGCAGCGCAAACCTCACCCCGTGAACATAACCCAGCTCCGATTTTATTCTGTTCTCCATCTCCTTCAATACTTGATGAATCTTTTCTGTAAGCGGATGCATCTCATCTCCGTTGTAGAAGTAGACCTCCTTATCGATCTCCACCCAACTACGTCCAGCCTCTTTCCTTAACCCTTTCATCTTAAACAGTTTTCTTATTCTCTCGCACTCTTTCCAGTACCCGGCATCAGCGTAGATGTTTGACAGCATCACATAGTTGACAGGGTTATTGCCGTCCATTCTCAGGAGTGTCTCTCCTACTTCTCTACCTATTTCCAATTCCCCATGTACTCTACAAGCACTAAGCAGAGTTTGCTGTATTCCAACGTTTGGTTTTAAAGGCATGGTGTCGATGAGATTCTTAGCTTCTTTTACACGTCCGGCTCTTCCAAGGAGATCAACCATGCAAGCATAATGCTCTACGTTTGGTTTAATCCGGTTGTCGCAGCACAATCTTGAGAAGTATTCTTGGCATTCTTCGACTAGTCCAGAATGGCTACAGGCTGAGAGCGCGGCTAAGTAAGTCACTCCATCGGGTTCAATGTCATCCGATAGCATCTGGTCGAAAAGATAAACAGATTTCTTTCCAAGACCATGTTTTCCGTAGCCAGTGATCATAATCGTCCAAGAAATTACATTCCTTGCTGGAGTTTCATTAAACAGTCTTTCTGCCTCGTTTGTCAATCCACACTTGAGATACATATCCAGAATTGAATTAGTCACTGATATGTCTAAACCAGAGGGGATTTTAATGGTGAAAGCATGCATTTGCTTACCTTGTTCTATAAGAGCAAAATCAGCAAATACACCCATAAGGCTTGATAGAACAAACCCGTCCACTTGATGGTCGACACTAACCCTGAGCTGCCTAAACAAGTCCATAGCTTGTAGTAGATTGCGTTCTTGAGCATAACCAAGAATCAGGGAACTCCAGGACACTAAATTTTTCTGTTCGATTTGATCGAATACTCTCTGAGCTTCAGTTAAGTGCCCGCATTTGACATACAGATCAACAAGAGCACCGGCAACAGTAGTCCGAACTGAACACAGGAATCCTCTTGTGATTAAGGAGGAATGTATTTGGCTTCCTTGCCGAATTGCTCCGAGGCCACTACAAGCCTTGAGCGTGCTTGTAATCGTATACTCATCGGGCACTTCCCCAAGCCCTTGCATTTTCCTAAACAAAACCAAAGCTCTCTCCCCATTTCCTTCAAGTGTGAATCCGGCTATCATCGCGTTCCAACTGATAAGATTCTTAACTGGCATCACATCAAACATCCGTGCTGCTTCGCGAAATTTTCCACATTTCGCATACATGTCGAGGATAGAATTGCTCACCACTGTCACCCATTCAAAACCAGATTTGATGCACATATTGTGAATCTGCATTCCATTCTCAGCAATTCCCACAAATCCAGACGCCTTGAGATTGATCGAAAAAGTGAACTCGTTCGGTTTAATCCCTGAAAACCCCATTTTGCTAAAATGAGACAGTGACCCTCTGGCATTGCCATTCTGTAAGTAGCCACACATTAAAGCCGTCCACGAAACCACATTTCTCTCACGCATTCTATCAAACAGTTCATAGGCAATCCCCATTCTACCACATTTGCCATACATATCTATAAGATCATTGTTTAACATCAAATCAAACCCAAATCCCATTCTCATCACCATCCCATGAGCCTGCATTCCCTGATGAAGTAGCAAATTCCTCGAACAGTTTCGAAGGAGATTCGCCAACCTCTGCCTCTCATTCATCCTTCCGAGCAACCCCGTTCCGCAAAGTCCCCGACGAGAATCAGCGCCTTGTCTGTCAGAGAATTGGAAAATTCCTTCGTACCCAAGTTATTAAATTGCAAAAGCATAAAAGGGTTGCAGAGCATCCACGCTCAGATTGTGAAGCTCTCGTTATCACAGAGCAATTTCCTGGTTACCAAAATGCTGGACGTGTGTGACTGCATTGGGGATTTGCGCTACGCTGGTTCGTTATTCAAGCAAGTTACGGAGCCGAACGTGGTTCTGTTCAACGGGATCAGAGCTTATACGCATAATCACATATATGATTTAGCAATCAATTTGTATAAGCAAACGCTCAGAGAAGCAGAGAACCAATTTTTCCTGACAAATTCACGTTCTCGTTTGTGATAAAATCTTGTGCCGCGATTTTATATGAAGTTTTGGGGAGGCTGGTTCATGCCCAAGTGTGAATTTTGGCCGAAGTCTCATTTGCTGATAGAGACGCGTTGATGGGTTTGTATACGAAGTGATAATTTAGAAGATGCACATAAGGTGTTGATAGAATGTCTGAACGGGATGTGATTTCTTGGAATAGTCTCCTTTCTGGGTATGTTAGATTGGGGCAGATGACAAGGGCAAGAGCTCTGTTTGAAGAAATTCCTAACAAGACTATTGTGTCTTGGACAGATGGTTTCAGGGCATACGAGAATCGGGTGCTACCTGGATGCTTTGGATATTTTCCGGCGAATGGAAATACTGGGTATTGAAACCGGATGAGATCAGTATTCTTTCCGTTTGGCCGGCATGCGCGCAGCTTGGAGCTTTGGAGGTTGGGAAATGGATTCACATTTACTCGGATAAGAAGTGGCCATTGCAGTCGGGGTTTGTGTTTGCAATGCCCTGATTGAAATGTATGGGAAATGTGGCTGCATGGACCAGGTTTGGCAGTTGTTTGACTGCAGGGCTGGCGAATAACGGGAAAGCTCGCAAAGCGGTTGAACTGTGTTCAAGAGATGCAAAGAGCAAGGGTTGAACCTAATGCATTACATTTCTAGGTCTTTTATCAGCCTGCGCACATGCTGGTTTATGGAATGACGGAGTCAAATATTTTGATTCTATGGGAGAAGATCATAAAATAGAGCCGGAAATCGAGCATTATGGTTGTTTAGTTGATCTTCTGGGACGTGCCGGACACCTTAATCAGGCTCTTCACAGAAAAAAGAAGATGCCGATGAATCCGGGCTCAAAAGTTTGGGTTCGTTGTTAAGTTCCTACACGGCTCACTGCAATCTCGAGATTGCCATTACCGCGAGGGAGCGCCTTTCGGAGCTTGAACCAGAGGATGCAGGGAACTATGTGTTAATTTCCAATATCCATGCAGACCTGGGGAAGTGGGAGGATGTGTCGAGGATGAGGAAACTCATAAGAAGCAAGCGCACGAAGAGAACCCCGGGTTGCAGTTCAATCGAGGTTAACAACGTGGTTATGGAATTTGTAGCATGCGACGATTTAAAACCATTCGTAAAAGACATTTTCCATGCTAGAGCTGCTCGTTTCTGAGCAGAATATACAAAATGATAAGTTAGAACCTATACAAAATAACACGACAATAAAAATATCGCAACTTCGAAAGCAACGTTGATAAATTTGACTGATATAATTAAATTTCCAAAGAAAAACATACAAATCCTAATCCTAGCTGAAATGCTGTGCAAAAGAGAGGCCACATACAACAATTATTGCATACACAGCACAATCCATAAACAGAGCATCAAGTACCTTCTTCCCCTTCAAGCCTATCCCCAAAGCCATGCCTAACCGCTCAGCCCACTCATACTCGGTGCCACTAAGATTTTGACAATCACCGAATCCGGCAAGCACTCTGGAGAGTCTTTGTGGACCGCTGTCGAAAATTCGTGCCAGCACAAGTGTGACATTGGTTACCAAGACCAGGTACACAGGCCTAAAACCCAGAAGGGTTTTAACCATTTTACTTCCAAGTAAAGGAAAACCAAAATGGGCAAAAACCACGAGGAGTGCAACCGCCATTGAAATGTAAATTCGGGTCCTTTCTGATGCTTCAATGGCGCTACTAATTCTACTTGCAGTGAAAAGTCTAGGTTTCTCAAACGACAATGATGATGGTGGTAATTCATTCTGAACCGTTGATGGTGGTGATTCATCCTGAACCGTTGATGATGATGACCGTATTTCCTCAATCTCAGGAGTGAAAACTGCAATCCACAACCGCCATTAGCAAACACAAGAACAACAACAACAGCAACTAAAGATGGAGACTTTTGGAGATAGAGTGAAAGAGGGTACCTGGGATTTGATCAGGGACGGGGGTTTTGGTCTGGGACGTCGGTGATTCATTCTGAACCGTTGATGATGATGACCGCTTTTCCTCAATCTCAGGAGTGAAAACTGCAGACCGACACGCCATTAGCAACTACACCAACAGCATGCAACTAAAGATTAAGGCTTTTGGAGATAGAGAGAAAAAGGTACCTGGGATATGATCAAGGACGTGGGTTTTGGGAATCTGATCAGGGGGAATCGACCGCTGGGATGGCGGGTCTGTATCTTCACTGTGAGTTGCTGGGTGTGGCGGTGCTGAACAAGAAGAAGAAGAGGGCAGGGTTTGGATCCGACCCGTGATTAGGGCAAGGCGGTCGGCCCCTCGCTCCATGATCTTCCTCCGTCGGGCTTCTCTGCTGTTTGTGGTCATATTTTTCAATCAATCGATAACCGCTTCGTCTTTTGCTTCTGGGCAAATGCAGTTCATACTTCTCACGAGTCTATCAGATATCAGTTCTGGCTCTGGATCGGTTGGTTTTGGATACCGCTTTTGATTCGGATCCGAGTCCGATAGTTGTGAAATTCCCAACTTGACCTCATACATCAACCAGCCGTTTTTAATTTTAATTTTTTTTTCAAAAATATATTTTGTGAGATTTGAACTCGAGGCCAGTTTCAACAAAGTGGAGATTGAGTTTTAGTGAGAACGGTTACCAGCTATTAATTATATCTATGGGTGGTATTGGTGCGATTACCGTACCAAAACTCATGTACTAATTACTATACTAAACTTTTAGTATGATAAAATCTATTACCATTATCTTGTCAAATTTTTGGTATACCGAATTTCGGTATGCTAAATAATTCAGTTAGCATGGTATGGTAATGGTAATTACCACTTTGTTTTGGGCCAAAATTTTGATTTTTTTTTTTCAACCCAAATCAAGGCCCAAACTTGTTTAGGCTACTCTCTTTGGGTTTCTAAAACTTTTTTATTTAATTATGAGAATTTTATAGAGATTCATTTAAAAAACAAGAAGTAAAATGAATGGAAGAATTGCTGAAAGAACCCAACATCCCTAAAAAAAATAGTACAAAGATTCCTAAATTCCATCTCTACATTTGTTAAAATTGTAAAAAAATTAATCTGATAGACGAAGCCTGGGAAAGAGACATCCTAATTTGATGAAGGAGAAGATGAGATGGACTGCGAAGAGAGAGAATTGCCGAAACGGGAGCAACATAGATGAAGCCGATGGCTAGATAAGTGAAAAGATGAAGAGTCGCAACGTAAGAATGCTTAGGGGTTTTTTTTTATTGAGACTGTAGAGGTTAGGGGTGAGATGATTGGATAAATAACTAGGAAAAAAAAATATAAGGTGCATATATAATGATAATAATACCTAAGTATATATATAAATGAATAAATAAATAATATAATATTAATAGTAGTGGTACGGTATGGTATACCATTGGTAATGGTTTCGAATACCATTACCGTATCAAAAATATATGGTACGGTACAAATATCATACCATTACCAATGATACAAATTTTTTGGCACAACTTTGGTATGGTATGGTTAGTAATTTGGTTGGTATGGTAATTTGGCAAAAAATTTCACCCCTAATTATATCAACTTCTATTTAGTAGTTCAATTATTTAATCAAAATCATTCATTGAAAGTGAGAAGCATGTATTTTGGCAGATTTTAAAAGACATTTTGGCAGATTTGTATGATTTTAAAAGATTTTTTTATAAGTGACAGATTTTAAAGGATTTTAATGGATTATATAACTCTATATGGATTTTGGCAAATTTAGATAGATTTCTATAGATTTGTATGAACTTCTTTTATGAATTACGTAGGATTTTAAATGTTTTTATAACATTAGAAGAATACATAACAGTGGATATCATATTAGTTCGGATTTCAACAACTTACTCTCTCCAGCAAGTCTGAGATACAATGCTTCAATGTCTTGGAAAGATGGGAAATATATTAGAAATGAAATAATAGCCATGCATGTCTTCTTGTCAATAGATTCCTAGAAATGAAATATATTGGAAAGATGGCATTGATAGTTCTTCCCACGATAGAAACTAGATTGGTTAAGTAAAGCTGGTTATTATGACATGCAAGGCAATTCACATGAAATCGAAGCTAAGGCTAGTAAAACAATTAGGGAGTTAATGTCAAAAGGCTCCTTAAGTAATTAAGCTTGGATTGAAATAGCGGGCCTAAACAATCATCACAAAGTCATAAAGTCACAAAATCTGCGATTTGGCCTAAACAATTATCACAAATAAACCAACAGTCATTACTTATACACCAACAACAATAACAGCAATATGTGAAATAAAAAAAATAAACCATACAAGAATTTGGAAGAGAAAATCAATACGTTAAGGGATGAGGGATGAGGGAATAAAAAATCAGGGAAAATAAAACCAGTAGTCATTACTTTTCTATATCTGAGAGAAGAGGATTGTTCTTATTCTAGAGCATGAAAAGAAATCAAAAATCAGAGGGGGAGGGTTGGATTCTTGATGGCATTTGGTATTTATACCACCATCCTCAAATCTATCAAAATCCTTCACTTATTAAAATCCTAGAAAATCACTGGTATTTTGACTGCACCTAGACATTTGTGGACATTTTTAAAATCCTAATCGACTACTGGTAGATTTGGATGTATTCTTTAAAATCTTCTTAAATCCTAATTTAACTACACCATTTTTAAAATCCTCTTTAAAAAATCTTAATGGACTACACTCGGATTTTAAAATCTATTAAAATCCTAATTTAATTACATTCCTTTAAAATCATCTGAAATTCAAATTGACTACACCACTAAAAAAATCGAGACTGACTTTCTTTGACAATGGTTATCCACTATTAATCTTGAATCAACGATAACTTTTTGGTTCAATTATTTAATCATAATCATTCATTCAACAATAATGTTATTCTTACCATATTTTTGTACCACAATTGTATACCATCTTAAGTAGCATGTGATGTGGATAGCTAAATTAATTAGTATTTAATTTCAAAATGTTAATCAATAATTAATAAAAATATTGTTAATTAAATGATGATTATGGTATACGAGGAGTCTCTTTCTTCTACCTAAGATTATTTAAGTGTTTTAATTAATAAAAAGATTGAAATTAAATGATATAGTATCAGAGCCTAACCCTGGCCGCATGTGTGCCGACGAGGACGTCGGGCCCCTAAGGGGGGTGGATTGTAACATCCCACATCGCCTAGGGGAGTGATCCTTATATGTATATTCCTATCCCTACTTAGCACGAGGCCTTTTGGGAGCTCACTGGCTTCGAGTTCCGTAGGAACTCCGAAGTTAAGCGAGAAGGGGGCTAGAGCAATCCCATGATGGGTGATCCACTGGGAAGTTGCTCGTGAGTTCCCAAAAACAAAACCGTGAGGGAATGGTAAACCCAAAGCGGACAATATCGTGCTACGGTGGTGGAGCGGGCCCGGGAAGTGGTCCCCCCCGGGCCGGGATGTGACATGTAGCTTATCCAACTCATCTACCACCTAAGATGGTAAAAAAATATGATATAAAATTGTGGTAAGAATAACATTACTCTTCATTCAAATTGTGAGAATATGCGTGTATTACCAGACAAACTAGTCATTGGTTATTAACCAGTTATTAATGACAAATGATCGATTCAATAACCTAATCACCGTTTGCAAAGAAGGGTGAGATATGGGCAATTTTTAGAAGTACAACCAGTGCAATTTTCCTGCCAATTACCAACTTTGATAAGTATTAAGTATTAACTATTAACTATGACTATAATCCGATAATACATATTAATATGACCATACAAATGGCAAATATTGATACTGAATCATGGTTATAAGTAAAATTAATAATCTCAAATATAAGTGATGGGATGAGAAATAGCGTAACGCAAAAATCATGCATAGTTCAACAAAATTAGTAAATCAAAGATTTCAAAGACCAGATGATCTTCTCAAGAGTACTTAGCAAACTCATGCCAAGGAAAGAATAATCCACTACAATTTTTAAGTTAATAAACCCGTTTATCGACTAAGATAAAACACCCGAAGTCATAGAGATGGTGCAATGCGTCTGTAAACCGCTCGGAATGTCTGTCCTCCATTTCTGTCAACCTTCTGTCCTTCCTCAGTTGCAGAACTCAAGAGCTTCGTGACTGGATCTGCTTTGAGCTCTTCGTCTGTGAGAGCTTCAAACATTGGGTGATTCTCCAAGCAAGTCTTCATCCAGTCTCCAAGCTCCTCAACATCCGTAATTGTGTATATGATCCCACCAACTTCTAGAACATAAGCATACTCATCCAGCAAGAATGGACTGATCACTCTACGACGATGATTTTTCTCTTTGAAGTGAGGATCCGGAAAGAGAAAAAACATCTTCGAAAGCTGTCCTTTCTCAAAGTAATTTGGAATGTATTTCATGGAATTAGTCCGAACCACTGAGATATTTTGGTATTGACCAGGATTTGTCACCCTTAAAGCCAAGATCCTTTCTTTGACATACTCTGTCACTTTGTCCCTAAGCTCCATCCCGATCATCAAAGTCTCGGGGAAAAGGGTTGACAGACTTATCAGAAGCCCCCCAAAACCACAACCGATATCTGCAAACTGAATCTTCTTACAGCTATCAACTTGATTGGACGAGGGGAAGTATTGTGGGTAATGAACAGAATAATCTACATGACGCGGGGAGACAGGCACTGGAAAGTGGGAGTCACTCAGAGGGTTGCTGTGTGCTCTTGCTCTGTAGAAACGCTTCCGAGGCAGGCCAGTTGACTTGCTAAACGTCGGGTTTGTTTCCTTTCCCGACATGACTTTTTTTCAGCTAACTGCAGAATAGTAACAAGCAGGAATTTCAGGAGATCATGCTAAATTATGAAGGGAATCATAAAATGCAAACCAAGTAAAAATTTCCCTCTTGTTGCTTAGGCAACTTAAATCCTCAACAAAGTGAGGTGTGCAGCGAAAGGCCTAACTCCACGACTGTCGATATACACTGCCGGTAAGGACCGAGTAAGTTTCACTACATACCAGTCTTGTACAAAAGATATCAGGGAAAGCAAAATGCAATCACCATTGTAAATCTTAGAAAAGTAAACCAATTGCAAGCATTGCCTAAACCATTAACGAAATCTCTATTCCTTGGATTCTACCTAGAAAAACCAAATCGTAAGAAAAGGGTTTTCCTTCGGATAGTTAAATTCACACTCCTGTAACTCCCGAAAATACTTCAAAAGGCATTATCACAAACAAGTGGTGGGCATATCTAACAGATATCAGTTTCAATAAATAACGGTGGATGAACATTTACGACGTAAAAAATTAGCAAAACTAAACAGATTAAATCCTCTAAATTGCTCGAATGAAGCTGTAGAGCATTAATGGGCGTCGTTCAGAAGAAGCCTCAGATGGCCGTAAAACCACAAAAACAATGGAAAACCAGAGACAGAGGGTTTAAAGAGAAGGAACACAGACCTGGGTATCTAATTGGAGGTGAAACCCAACAAAATTTTGAAGCTTTTTCGAAGATGGAGAAGCTCTACTACCAAGTCTCGGAGGCCGGTACGGAAAGTGCTGAGCGACTGGAATTTATTTTACAGAGCCAGACGCAGTCCGAAGGGTCGGAGCGAAACGAAAGAAGAGATTAAAGTTGGGCTGTCCTTCAGGTTTGGGCTCTGGTGTATTGCGAATTGACTCATAGCCTAGCCCAATTTGTTTAGGGTTATATGATCGGCCCATCTCGCTACAAGAAAAAGAAAAGTGCCACAAGGCCCACGGGCCACAACTTATCGACAATGACGGCGCTATTTTAAAGCCACGCTCTTTTGACACACGAAATTTGCACATTTATTGGCACATTCTATAATATATGTGAGTCTCACATATAGGTGTGTTGATTTTGTGTTTAAGAGCTCGTTTGTTATGAGAGGGCCAGAATCACTAATGGAAGAAGCACATGAGAAATGTTTTTCCATAAAATCACCAAGAAGTGTGTTTCTTAATAAATCTCAAAAGTAATTTTCCATGTGATTTTATTGTTATATTAGTACAAGTTAATATGGGGTGTGGAGGAATCAAACACATGACGATAGGTGTGTGAGAATGTGAAGGATAAAAAAAAGTCTTACATCGGTGAAAGGAGACACCTTGTAAAGAGCTTATAAAAGTTTGCGCTACTTTTTATGTTGTCAATGGTTTTATGGTGGAACCTCAACTTTCTTAATGGTATCAAAGCAAGTTGGTCCACATGTGAAGCTCAACGGCCACACATAATCCACGTCACCCAATTTGTGTTGTCCACGTGTTTGGTTTAAAAATTCGACAGACTTGAGGGGGTGTGTGAGGATGTGAAGATAAAGTGAAGCTCAACGGTCACACATGCTCCACGTCATCCAATTTGTGTTGTCCATGTGTTTAACTTGAAAGTTTGACACACTTGAGGGGACGTGTAAGGATGTGAAGGTAAAAGAGTCTCTCATCAGTGGGGAAAAAAAAAAAAAAAAACTTGCAAGGGCATATAAAAGGTTGGACTACTCTTCGTATTGCCAATTAATTTTCTAGCATATAAAAGATTGTGCTACTCTTCATATTATCAACTGATTTTACAATAGAACATCAAATTTCTTCAAGGTGCAAGGGGTCAAACAAAGCATCACGGATGTAGAAGTATTGCACTTTAATCACTTAGCTTCAAACCCCTTGTTAAAAAAAGATTTTAAACAAAAATTCAAGCCCCAAACTCCCAGCACTAAAACTGCCAAAATCCACCTAGTGCTCCTAAAATTCAAACTTCAAATATGCAGTTGGGCTAAACAAACTACATATTACGATTCAATTCAATCCAGTCCAATAAAAAATAGTATAATCCAACACGTCGCGTGCTGAAACTCTAGTATATAAGTTATTACATAATGACAATACGTCTAATAATGATCAAATCATGTCTTGAACATACTCTGATCTTAGTTTTCTTTTTTCTTCTGTTCTGAATTAGACATCTACATACATAGTAGGAACCTACATGTATATATGAAGGCAGAAGCGATTAACTTCCGTCCCTCTCACACACACATTAATGGAAAAGATGACCCGAAAATTCATGCGACGATAACAACATTCCAACGTATGTGTGCTTCTCAGAATTATATATATGTTTATATATACTAGGATATTTAAATTTAGTAAAACCTAGTCTCAGTACTCAACTGAAATCAGGCAAAACGTGTCCCTTAATTGGTTTGAGTTTCTCTCCATAGTTAGCTAGCTGTGGAAGTACAAATTGATATGCAGGCATGCATGGCTCTAGCTTCTAATTAAGTTCTAATTAATGTCTAATTTCTCACCTAACTTAACTAATAAGCATCCTGTGTTGATATATTTTGGACAAGAAATTCCAATAAACCAACTACTATATATAAATTACGTACATATATACGTACGTAAGTTTATCAAGCACTGATTAAGTTTAGCACTGGTATTGCTCCACAAAACTATCTATTAACTGCAACAAGGACCAGAATTATATAGACTTAATCTGCGTATACAACATTGGCTACGTGGCTTCATGAAATCTTTACATACAACTACTCTTTTGAAAATTTGCATCCCTTTTGGGAACAATATTATCTCAACCTTATGCTGTCTTTGTGATCTTTCTTGCACCCTTTCCATCCCCAACAACTTAAATATATACCTAATAGTTAATTTAAAATTTTGCTTAATTATTTTGTGCACTGCAGGAAAGATGCAAACACATGCATGTGAGATTAACAGCAGCCTGGTATTTTATTGTGAAGTGTTTGACAAGTAGCATGTCTGACGAACATGGTGAGACTGGTTTAGGGGTTAGGGTTCTTCAATCATTCTAGATAGTCTTCTTTGATATAAACTTATTAACTACTACTTCTAATGTTACGAAAGTCGACAAAGTCGTCCCAATTTTCAAAAGTGGATCGTTGAGCGTTAGAGAATGTGATCAAACACGTCTCCTCTCTAATCATGTATCCTAAATCACTCGATTTTTAATTTTCTTTACGATGTTTGTAGATGCACGCTAACTTAAATAAATTTTTTAATTTAGTACATATAAAAGATGATAAATTGGTTAAATAACTAGATGACTTGTTCCATGAATATATATCTATGTGAGCAACAGATTAACTCAGTCGTAACAAACGCATAATCATTCATTCATATCCCAATTTATTGAATGAAACTGTGATATTAATCATGTTTGTTAAAGCTTCTCTGACAAGTAGCTTAATTAATGTAGTCAACCAAAACCCTAGCAAGCTAATTTATATACATAATCAATATGTCTTTCAATTTTAATCTTTGAGAGGCAGATAAATTTGTTTGGATAAATATTGTTGTTACTGGAGGCTTAAATAATTAAATGTTTCAACAAAATTACACACTTTAAAACATTTTTATAATCTTGAAAGGAGGATGACAGATGGTAATCGTTTCTGCTAATCAATTTGTCTCCTACTATAAATATTGATGGTTACACAGACAAACGTCTAACAACTACTTTGATCATCATCCTCGCTAATCTTCTTTGCCACAGATTATGATAATTTGATCCCAAAAATTGGACTACCAAGAAGAGAGGTTGAAAGTGCCCAAGTCCTTAATTGTTTTCCTTTGCAATGTGGAAAGTGTCCTAAACGTTTGAAACATTTCACAATTGCAACTTTAACTCCTTTATTTTAGTGATGAGGTTAGTTATGATTATGGAAATATTGAGAGCTTTAGAACAGAATTATTGAGCATTTCGGTCCACAGCTTTACGAGAATTTAATTAATTAAGCACAGTATGTATGTAGAAGTAATCCATCACAATCTCTCTCTAGATTACTTGATAGACACTTCAAATAAGAAATTGGTATAGGGGTCTTGATCAAACTCACCCGTTCTTCATGACCATCCAATGCTTTAGCGATCACAACTTGCTAATATTTCATAACGAAACTACGAGGATTATGTGCGATTGACCGAAATTTTGGGTCATTGGAAAGGGAAATCAAATAAATTTAAGTATTTGTTATATAGGATTGATTAAAAGGTGATAGTACACAGATTCATTTTCATGTATATACCACTGCAGAAGCATTTCTCTTGTTTTCTTCTCTTTCCTTTCTGCCAAAGACCTTCATCGGGCCACTCCACAAGCATATTGATTTGATGCATTAAGCACTTGAAGGGCATGAAGGATATGTGTGTGTGTGTGTGTGTGTGTGTGTTTTGGGTTTTATATAATGTATATAGATATGTATAGCGTATAAAAGAATATCATATATACTCCTATCTTGGTGTTGAACAAGTATATTAGTTGCTCTCTCTACGACTTCTCGTCTACTAGCAACCACAAAACGGACCCTTCACTATTGTCAAACAAGAAAGTACCACCCTTGATAAATTGTCTAGCAAGAAGCCAAAACATAGAAAGAAACGGATCGACGTTGTAATTATTACTGTTGGGTTTTCTGTAATGATAATACATATACATTCTAACGATCACTCTTGAGATCAATAATTATATTGTAAATGTCAATTTTCGAAGAATTGTAATAGTCATCAATTCATATATTTCTGCATTGCAGAATGCATCATGGGAGTATTTACCTTGGTTCAGGCATTAACATCTGAACTACTTATGTGCAGATCTGATTGTACATATTTGGTTGAGGATATTGAGCTTAATTAATATATATCATTCGGACGTATCCATGAATATATTTTGGACATAATCTATAGCTAGGCTTCTATCCCTAGGAATAAATAAAAAGATTTGAGCTCGTCTAACCAATTTGCTATTAGACAAAATAAGGATGAGAACTTTTGGGGGTGGTGCCATGAAACTGGGGTTCCTGTTCTCCAAGATGACATATATATATTGATTAACACTAATTTCCTACTGAAGAATAAGCATAATGTATCAGTACTAATTATAATTATGGATATATATTAACATAAAAGAGCCAAAACACAAAGGAACCAACTACCAAGGGCAAGGGAATCCAGGGGTTGTGTCTGGTTTGTGCCCTAAACCCTATTCCTCTCCTATTTTTCAGTACTCTTCAAGCATGTGACTCTCTCCGAGTCCTGCCAGTAGACGCCTTTGTTATTGTTTATACTAATGGTACCGAAATTTTAAATTAAATTTGTAAACTAAATGATGTGTCATTAATAAAAAAAAATAAGCACGTTATATCAACACTTAAGTAATAATTCAATCATCAACAACCATATCATTTGGTTTACAGAATTTGATATAAAAATTTGATCTTCCTAGGATTACCCTATTGTTTATACGTACATGTTAGCATCTTATATATGAGAAACAAATTAATGAGATAAAAGTTAATTTGAGAATTGAATAAATCATCGAATATATAACAGTCTCAATGTTTGGTCAACAAAATTTAGCAAGTACATTTGAGCTCATATTTAGTCATCGCTCTGAATCATAATTAGTCGTCGCAGGGCGATGTAATGACACATGTCATGCACTAATTGGTGAAACCATATTATACTCATATGGAAGGGCATTCATTAGACAATTATGTCCAAGTATGACCTAGCTAGCACGCTGGTTGCCTCTATCGAGAGAAATTTTAATTGTGACGGGAACACAGATAGTACACCACTTTGTTTTTATGTAAGTGGTGGAAAATTTTATTTTTTAAGTTATTAACTTTTTAACACACATATATCACCATTTATATAACACGTAATGTACTACACCATATGATGGTCACACTAAAAAATCTCTTCTATCTTAATCTAAACGCTACGTGAAGCAATGGATATATATATACAGTGGTCGTCTGCACATGATTTGTCTTATTTGCATGTAGATGTTGTGGATGCAAATTTCCGCCTTCTCCTTCTTGGACAAAATTGCACTTACAAAACAAATCACACATTTGGTCAAGGCCAAAAAGTCTCACGCGCCCATGATGAATGGGCGGGGCTTTGGCTGAAGAACCTCCAATGCCAAAGTTAGAATTTTGAGGGAAGAGTGTTTGGAGAATTTTGTAGAGTTTTGCAAGAGACTTGGAAGTAGTTTTTTGAGAGAATGGAGAGCTATTTATAGGGATATGGCTGGCCCTATTAGGAGAATAGGGACTGGCCATTTGTGGTATTTTTTGGGTGTAATTTGTAGTTAATTAGCCATTAATAGATTAATTAGGTAATAAATCCATTAATTGACTAACATAATTTAAAAGAAATGTTTTGGGGGTTATGAAATAATTACCTTGTGGAGAATATAGAATGAGGGTGGATGAAATAGTTTTGAATTTGTTACCTATTTTGGGCATTTTTGACTTGATTGAGAGATGATTGCCCGCTGCTACGCATAGGAATCCTGGTATGCCTCAAGGGTATTTTTGTCATCTTCTATCCAAAAATCCACATGTCGCCTTGTGATTATTTTTGGCTCCACAAATGCCCCCACACCTGTTGGGCTGCTCGCAAAAAAGGGCAACAGGTGTAGAGATTTTCTTGCTTTAGGAAACTTTGGACTGCTTCCTATTTTGATGTAGATTCCCTCTTTAATAGGAAATTAGATCATTCTAGGAAAAGGAAATAAATTTCTCTCAAAGCCTATTTAAGTCCACCTTAAGTGGGTTATTAAATCAACTTTGAAGAGTGATTTATTCTACCCTACAAGAGAGAGAGAGCTTAGAGGATATTTGTTCCCCCTCCTTTAGCAATCTTTTACATCTTGCCTATGCAAAGGACTGTCTTTCATTGCTTTCTTCGTTTTCTCTGTGCCATACTAATGTAAGAAAAATTTCATTTTTCTGTCTTCTTCGTGGATAGTGCTATAACTGGGCAGCCGTCAAGGTGGTGCGACACGTTGGCTGGCAGGGGACAGGAGTCGGCTTGGCATAGGCCAAGGAGGTGGTTTGGTAGGGGCCATTTCTTGTGCTGCTCAGCTTGATTGAAGCCAAGGATTGGCTCGGCATGGGCCGAGGAAGTGGCGTGGCGTGGGTAACGATTTGGGTTGCCACATCTGGGCTGCTTGCCAAAAATGAGGAAACTGCTTAAGTTTGATTTCTCAGCTGCCATAGATGAAGCAGTCAATGATGGAGCTACCAAGATCAGAGTTGCTGAAGATGAAGTGTTGAATGAGTGAACTGTTAAGTGTAAAAGTGGATGCTGCCCCTAAGCCATTTCTTGCTTAGTTGATCTTCAAGCATTCGATCTTTTAAGCTATGTGGCCTTCTTGCATTGAAGAGCTTACCCTAGATGGGTGTCGGGGATTTAGTTCACCCTCTCGCACTAAAGAGCAATTAGTTTACCTCTCGTACTGGAGAGCAAATCCATATAGGTGTCGGGAATTGGTTTACCCTATCGCATTGGAAAGCAATTAGTTTATCCTTTCGCGCTGGAAAGCAGACCCATATGCATGTCAGGGAATTGGTTTACCCTCTCACTACTGAAGAGCGATTAGTTTATCCTCTCGCGCTGGAGAGCAGACCCTTTTGGGTGTCGGGGAATTAGTTTACCCTCTCGCACTGGAGAGCAATTAGTTTATCCTCTCTTACATTGGAGAACAATTAGTTTATACTCTCGTGCTGGAGAGCAAACCCATATAGGTGTTGGGAATTGGTTTACCTTTTTGCACTACAGAGCATGAAATCATTGTCGTGAGTGCAGTTGAGGAAAGTTGGACTGTCGGGATAACCAAAATAATCCTTAGCCTGCCCCCGGTTCTTGGTAGTTGGGTTGGTGTGTCCTACTGGTACTCGTCTGCCCCTGGCGTGCCATTAGGCTAAGCTCTTACATTTGTCGGAACAAAAGTAGTCTTTATATCCAGCAATCTATATGGGGTAGTCTCGTCTGCTCGATCTTGTCATTGAAAGATGACTCGCTTATGTTGGTCATGTCTCATCAGAGCACCTTGTCAATAGCTTCGTTGCACGGGAAATTGCACAATTGCTCGGTTATGAGTCTTTCTAGTTCTTCCTGAATTTACCTTTTTTAGGGTGGCAGAGCTTTCAGATGCCCCCGGCCGTGACCTGTTGGTCTAGGCTACTCTTCCATGTGTTTGGCTCATCTATGTCGCCGCTGCGGTGGATGTGGTATGTTCCTAGCAGGCGAGCAGGTAACTCGCAAGCTACTAGTTAAACTTGAACCGAATTGAGTGACTGTTTATCTCCGCCCTCTGTGTTGCTTACTCTGATGTGAGGTGGATGATACTTCTTACGGGCCTTGCCGCGAATGAACACTTCGCCTAGAAGGTTACTTATGTTGATTATCGGAGTGTGGCCCTAACCGTGAATGTATGTTTGTCCATGGGCCTAACTGAGAATGCATGCTCCTCCACGCGCTAAGACGGGAGTATACGCTATCTCGGGGGTCCAGTCAGGAGTGTACTATGTTAGAACACTCGGTTCGTGACTGGTCAAGTGGCTGCTTGCCGGGACGCTAGTGGAGAGGTTCGTCTGCCCTTGTCCTTCTTCGGGATAGCTCGTTCAAGGCACGTTGGATCTCGGTGCGTTGCAAGAGTTGATTCACCAAGGTTGTTTGTTGTGCAAGGGCGCTCGTCAACTCTATGACTTGTTGAGACAAGTGTTGTTCACCATTTGGATTGGAAGAGCTTGGAAGAAATATGCCTCCTTGAGCAATAAAAGTGTGGGAGGCTCCGGGCATGAGATTTGAATTGTGAAATGTCAAATCTGCTAAGAAACGTAGTGAAAATGCCCCCGGCTCGATGGTTGGTCCATATGGTTGAGATAGTCTTGGGCCGATTTGGCCTGCTTAGAATGCCACAGGAGCAGGCTGGGCCATGAGAGTGGGCTGCTCGGCAAGAGCAGGCTAGGCCACGGGAGTAGGCTGCTCGGCAGGAACAGGCTAGGCCACGGGAGTGGGCTGCTCGGCGTATGAATCACGCGGGTGCGAGGCTTGGGCTCATGTTGGGCGTGGAGTGACATGGCTTGGGTTGTGGCCTTAATGTCGTGAGCCGCCTTGGATGGCATGGCTCGGGCCGTGGTGGTGACACTATAGACCTCGCCGCGGGTGGCTACCATGGTAGCCACCACGGTGGTTCCTGTGATGGAAACTTGTGGTGGTGGTGCCGCTCCACCTATTGTCACATTCAGCCTCGTGGATCGCCGTGGTCCCATCTCTTGAGTGTTGAAATTTTCATTTGTTGAATTTTCTAAATTTCTAACCATTGTACTTCTCTTTTATGTTTTATCAAAAAAATTTTGCAAATAAAAAATTCTAATAATAAGAACGTACGAGAAATCTACAAATGGACAAGAAAATAGAAAACCTTGGATGCGAGAGTCTTCTACGAGTGTGGGACTCAATCTCAATGAAAGCAACAATTTGTGAATGCAAATTTCTGCCTTCTCCTTCTTGGATAAATTGCAGCTACAAAACAAATCACACTTTTGGTCAAGGCCAAAAAGCCTCATGCGTCCACGATGAATGGGCGGGGGCTTTGGTCGAAAAACCTCTGATGTCAAAGTTTTGATAAATAGGGACCGGCCATTTGTGGTATTTTTTTGGTGTAATTTGTAGTTAATTAGCCACTAATAGATTAATTAGGTAATAAATCCATTAATTGACTAATTAACATAATTTAAAAGAAATGTTTTGGGGGTTATGAAATAATTACCTTGTGGAGAATATAGGATGAGGGTGGATGAAAAAGTTTTGAATTTGTTACCTATTTTGGGCACTTTTGACTTGGTTGAGGGATGATTGCCCATTGCTCGCACGTAGGAATCCGGTATGCCTCAAGGGTATTTTTGTCCTCTTTTACCCAAAAATCCACGTGTCGTCTTGTGATTATTTTTGGCTTCACAGCTGTAACTAAGAATTATAATTTAATCTGTTATCATTTGCATCTTACTGCAGTACTGCATATATATTCACTTATAGAGCTTTTTCGTCTAAGCTTCCAGTCACAATTATGAAAATAACCCTCCAACCTTCGCTAGCATATATAGTACATGTACGTACGTATTCATGATATCACACTTTGCATTAATTTTTATTCCAAAAATATCTAAGAATATAGTTGTAAAATCAAATTCAAACTTCTCATATGCAAGTTGTCATTTAGTACAATAGAGAAAGGTGTTGTCATTGTATGACAGCGTGAGTTCAAATCTCATCAGTAACTAATCTAATATATAACTTACTAACACTATCGCTCAAAACAAAAATAAAAATAAAATCGAACTTCTCATATGTATATCCAAAGAGGAAGATCCCAGCTTCATTAACTGTAGGATGTATACTTGAAAACCAAAAATTGAATGTGTGCGTGGGCCTAATCAATCACAAAGGTCATTTCTGTCAATTCGCACTTCATGAATGCAGGTAGACAATCATGCAATAATCCCAAAACAAGGATTTCGTCCATGATCCTTGATAATATTAAAACACTAAACCTGGCACCCTTGTATCTCAATACCCATAGTAGGTGAGAACTTCACCATCACACACAGGCCCCCATTTACTTTTCTTCACACCAGCTACTAGAAAGTTTAAATTCCAAATTTCTTGTGCATGCTGAGCAAGAAAAGCCCTAGTTAGCCTCACCCTCTCGCTCTCTCCCTCTTTTGCACCTTCATGATTCATCCGTTGTACCGCTCGTGCATCGGATCTCTTGATATTTTATGCCCAAAACCAAAAGGTTTTGAAAAGTGTCAAGAAACCTAATCAACATGTATGTACAGATATAGCTCTCCATGCAAGGAAGATACCTAGTTGCTTTTTATTTTATTTTTTCCTTTTGGTTTTTAGCTCCTTAATTAACTAGCTCCTACAAGTCTCCAGTACCCACATAGGGTTTATGTTGTTGAGTATTTTTAGGAGATGAAGAAAAATTAGATAGTTTTTTTTTTTCCACCTTAGCAAGTTTCAAAGTGAGCAATTCTCAGTAGTAATCTTGATCATCAGTCTCATATAATTATCTTTGTGATATATGCAGAAGCCAAACAAGCCGGCCGGAAGGGGAAAACCGTAAAAGGAAATTTGAGTTATCTTCACATCATGACAGCAGAACCAAAGGAGGACTTGCCACCAGGATTCAGATTTCATCCTTCAGATGAAGAGCTTATCACCTTCTATCTCATGAACAAGATAAATGATGCCACTTTTACTGGAAGGGCGATTGCCGATGTTGATCTCAACAAATGCGAACCCTGGGAACTTCCTGGTAAATATATATTGTTGTTCCAATCTAACCCTTGTTTTCAATTCATGCATCACATGCACAAATTTGATCTATTTCTATATATCCAAAGTTTTGAAGTTTGTGCTGCAATCAGCTCTTTCTTAGTTTGTACGTATATGTGATCTGAGGGGTCAGGAAGGGGGGATTCGGATTTGTGAAGAGAAATAGCAATAGAGCAGTAGCTAAATCTTGCTTACTTTTATCAGTTCTTTGTTGGATTTAATTTCTTTTACTTATTGATATTATTAATTAATTTTTAATTGGGACCAAATTTTTTATGAAACGTATTTAACTCGTGTGAACTTTGCATATGAACATTACATGTTTCATAGTATGTGCTCTTCTTCGATCAAAAGTTTACATTCTTTAAATTATGTGTACTTACGAGATATTGTTGTGAAAACATTTCTTGTAACATTGATAATGGAAAACAACTAAACATTTTCCCATAAATATAATGGGTATATATTTCTATATTCTCACCAGCTTGCATAGACAAATTAGCTTCTTGTCTGATTTAGTAAGGTGCTCATGAACTTGTAATTTCTTGGATCAACTATTGTAGCAAAAGCGAAAATGGGAGAAAAGGAGTGGTACTTCTTCAGCCTACGAGATCGGAAGTACCCCACAGGAGTGAGAACAAACCGAGCAACAAGTACAGGTTACTGGAAGACCACAGGGAAAGACAAGGAGATCTTCAACAGTATCACATCTGAGCTGTTTGGGATGAAAAAGACCCTTGTTTTCTACAGAGGCCGAGCTCCTCGTGGTGAAAAATCCAACTGGGTCATGCACGAATATCGCATTCATTCTAAATCTGGCTTTAGAACATCAAAGGTACCTAATTAAATTGATTAATACCATCTAATTAGTATAAGTTGAATTAAGGATCTAAAACAACTAGTTTTAAGTTCCATTTTAACTAATCTTATAATTAGTTGAAATCATCTTTGACATCAATAGAACTAGGGCTGATGAACTTGTGAAACTGAAATTCCAACCTCTCTCTAGCTTTCTCTCTCTCTCTCTCTCTCTCTAGATGGAGCTAGGGAGATAAACTTGTGAATACATGCACACATTGAGTTAAGCACAAGTTACATATTTATATATAGCATGATTCCATGCAAGATTTGTGAAACGTTGTTGATAGACGACAGTCCATAAAATTCCACGTATATATAATACCTATATAATATCGGGTTTTACAACTAGCTAGTACTCGTACCTTGCACATAATAATATTCTGACCAACTTAGATGACTAATACAGTAGCCAAGTTGACTCATTGCATGAAATTAACGATAGAGTATAGTACATGAACCTTAAAACTATTATGTTTCAAGTTATAGTATCATGTACATTACTGATATTTTGTTGATATTTTAAATAGATCAATCAAATTAATGTCAATAAGATATCCACAAAAACCTAAAGCATACAAAATTAACAACATATCATACAATATAAAATTAGGGTTACGCGGACTTTTTATCTTTTACACACTCCTTCCAATTTTATTGTTGGATGGAATAAATTTGAGAAGATCAAAAAATAAAAATTAACAGAGATGTGTGAGCGGTAAAAAAAAGTTTGTGGTTAGCACCACCCTAAAATTATGAATTGCTAATATACAATATCCAAAAATATAGCGAACAATAAATCATGATCTATATGAAAAGTAAAAGAACATAGATATGCATGCCCCCGTGATTTATGTCTTCCACTCCATATTATTCCATGCAACTAGATTTGATATTATGGATCAATTAATGATTAATTAACTGATCTGACTAGATTAATGTTGTATTAGCAGGATGAATGGGTGGTTTGCCGAGTCTTCCAAAAGAGCGCAGGCATAAAAAAGTACCCAACAAACCAATCAAGAGCGGCCAATCCCTACAACCTAGAAATAGGACCAAGTATGGTACCATCACCCCTAATGCAGCTAGGTGATCCAAACCACCATCAGTTCCCCTATGGCAGAAACTACATGACAAGTGCTGAGATGGCCGAGCTTTCAAGAGTCTTCAGAGGTGGTGGTGGTGGCGGTGGTGGATCATCAAGTAGCACTATCAACCTACCAATCCAACCCCAATTCAATTACCCAATTGGTGGAGGAGGTGGTGGTGGTGGTGTTGGAGGAGGAGCAGGTGGGTTTACAATATCTGGGTTGAACTTGAATCTTGGTGGGCCAGCATCACAGCCTACGTTGAGGACAATGCCACCAGCACAGATGCATCATCATGGCCCTCCATCTATGAATCATCATCATCAAGTGCAAGATGTTACTATGATGAACGGTCCAGATCATCAAGCTGGATACGGAACAATAGACATGAACAACAGCAACAACGCAACCGGTGGGAGTGGAAGCAGGTTTATGAACATGGATCCTTGTGCTGATCTTGAGAACTACTGGCCTTCCTATTAGGGTACTTAAGAGTATCCACCAATTAATTCCCAAGGCCAATTAAGTTAGAGACGAGCTTTATTATTATTACTTATTGTTATAATTTAGGTATAAAATCGATATACTTTTCCTTCCCAGTTAGGGTAATCAAGAACTAAGAACCCAGCAACTAAGGTCAGATATATTATATATAGTCCTGTGAATTAGAGTCAAGTGACTACTCTCGTTCAGGAACGTTACATCTTTGGTTATTCAATTTACTACCATCAACTTAATGTCTTTCAACAATTATTAAGCTTATTTATAAAGTTGGTTTTGCCTTAACACACATTTGCCATCCCTTTTGCATTTTTTGAGTTGCTTATTATTACATTTCAACATGATTCACAATATCCAAATCGATGCTACGATTATGCACATAGAAAGAGAAGTTGTGGCTATTGGGTCGTGGCCATGCTATACTGAAATAAAATCAGGTGGCGTAACCAGTATTTAAAATATTCACGAAATTGTAGAATATTTCTGTCGAAATATTCAAAAAATCAAGAATCAATATGGAAAGGGGGTGAAATGCAAACTTCACCCTATATCAGCGATATATAGAAAAATTAATAAATATCGATGATATTTAATTATCGATTCATTATAAAAAAATTTGCCAGAACTTATTGCAGATTTCAAACTTTTGATTTATTTTTTATTTTTAGAAACTTTTCTTTAATTCTCTAAAAAAGTTGATATACCTATTCCATTGCAAATTTCTATAATTTCCGTAGAAAACAACCGATATTGAAAATACATATCGATGTTTTAAACAGTTGCTGTAACCAATCTATATATATTATTATATGGGAATACAATTAGTTTTGTTCTAGAGAATAGTTTGATGGACATGCTATAACATACGATGTATTGTACTATGCATGTGTCCATATTACACAATATCTTGTGTCTAATATATAAATCGCCTATATGTATAGTTTAAGCACTCCACCTTTGTTACACCACCTCCAATCATTGGTCTAAAGACATGCATTGGGAAGTTTTTTTTGGCTAAAAATTCAAATTTTAAGACAAACTGCCAACTAGCGTGCGGAGGGAGGGATAACTCTTACACTTGTGTACAAGGAATATCGACAGGCCAAAGAAAAAATTCCAAAAATAAAGAAAACTAATGAAAAGGACTTAAAAACTTTGAGTTTTAACGATAAAGACAAAATAAAGGGTAAAGTGAATAGTACTAAAATTGACTTTTTAGTGTAAAAATATGATTTTTCGTTAAAATAAACAGTACCGTGAGCTTTTTGTTAAAACTCTCTATTAAAAAAAGGCAATATCGACAAAGCGTTGCGGGCAGTAGGTCACAAAACAGCACCAGTTTCACAAGAAATGCAGCCCATCAAACCAAACGGGCTTAATGATTGAAAAGAGTCATCCATTTTATGCACGTTCAATTCGTGCAGCAACATCAGCATTTCGATTATTAGTCTCCGTCATAACCAATGCTCGCGTCCATCCTATGCCATTGGTGTTGAAAGGAGCTCCGGTAAAGAAACCATTAACCACAATCACGTATGCTAAAAGGAGCTCACACAAATTAACCACCATCATTAACATTCAATAGCTTTGTTAACCACATAAATCGGTCTTCTTCACTAAAATATTGATTCTCCACGGTGCTTCAAAGTTCGAAAGAAAAAACAAAGCGCGATATGAAGAAAAAGAAATAAAAATAGGAAGAACAAATGTTATAGTTTAAAAAACAAGAAAGGGTAGGCACGACAATCCTTTCGGCTGTGACTGTAAGAATAAAGATGAAACTAAAATACACCTTTCAACAACATGAGTAAAATCTGCCCACTCTACACACCAACTCCTAGACTTATCTTAACATCGAACTTGCGTATCACAGTTTCTAAAATTTTACGCAGACGATTCAACCTTCACGAAAAAAGGACATGTAAACAACGCCAGTAGGCGCTTACTTCTCTGGATGGCCCCTTTTAACCTTACGTCGTGTATGGTTGGTACCTCGAACGGGTTTTTTAGTCTTTGTACTGCATAATGACGCACAAAGTCGTAATGAGCAAACAGAAATATGTTGGGATTACTTTTCATTAGAGAATGGGGTGTTCATCCGTAAGCACGTATAAGTAACTAACCCAAAAAGTGAGGAGAAAATTCTGAACAGAATTATGATGGGCAGGGCTAACAAAGCCGAGGCCTGCAACATTTTAATTGCGACTAAATAAGACGATCAAACCTAAATTTCAAAGAAAGAAAACAGAACAAAGAACGAAAAGCAAGAAGATTGATTTCATTATACGTACCGCAAACCACTCCAACTCCTTTGTAGCAAGAGGTCTTGTCAGTTCATGCCTCTTCAGCAAATCTTTTACTGTCCCTTGAACCTTGAAGAAATGTTGATTACAAAATTAAATAACACTACAGCTGGTTCAGTGAATGGCTTAAGCTACGGTGCATCCACCACGGCAACAACATCCAAAGAAATAAAATAACACACAATTCATTCACACCATGCAGTACGTCTTCAACAGAATATAACATATAAACTGAAGACCGTTCAACGCGGTCACTATAAGATAGTAGACAAAACATATATGTCATCTTATGTCACGATGAAGTGATTGGTCAAAGCAGTTGATAATTATATGTTAATTATTGTCATCAAATGGAAAAGAAAAAGAAAATGGAAAAACAAGGAATAATAAATGAACTTGCAGCAATCAGCCTTTAAATAATTTGTATCTAACTAACAGTAGCATATTGAATGGAGGTTATTTTGAATTGATGTTGATACCTGCTGATGGTATGTTGTTGCAGATTTGAGAAACTTCTCGTAGGCAATAACTGCCTTCTTTGTATAAGGCTTCAATACTACTCGAACCTTATCGACATGAGGTTTTGCCACAGTGGCCACCTGATCAACATACGGCTTGCTGAACCTTTTTGCTTCCTGTCACCCAAAAATACAGCTGTAGGATGCATGTAGGCAACATGAATGGACCAAATTTTTTGTCTAAAGAAATGTATATGTGAAAATATAGATACCTGAAAATAAGGATCAACAACTTCCTGCGCTTTTAGAACATGTGGAGCTAGTGTAGTCTTTGAAACCTCATAAACTTCAATAGTTTTTGCACTTAACGATTTCACATGAGGTTCAACAGTATCCTTCACCACCACCCATTGTTCCTTGATTGCCGGGACCCATTTCTTTAATAGGACAGACATGAAAAGGGGAGAAAATAAAGTTTAGTGAGAAAGGCAAACCATTTCTTATAAACAAGGCATAAACCACAACTGATTGGGATAACATGCTAGCATTCATACATGCATACAAGCATACTAACATAAATGTAAACATACTAGCATGCATATGTGTGTGTGTATACTGCGTAAAATTATTAACGCCATGGAACAATTTTATAGCTAGAGTCAGTGGAAACAGCAACACCATCAATCTCAGGTTCTCATTTAGTGTTATGACTCGAAGCTCTCCATTGTTACACAAAAGTGGAAATCGAAAATAAAATAAATTAGCTTACAGTTTTTAATGTTTCCACATGGGGCTCAGCCCACTTTTCAGCCTGGGCTTTTTTCTCCAGAGCCTGAACAAATTTGAAGGACCTCGTCAGTTGTTGAAGGATAATACTAAGTAAATTAAGCATAAACTTGTAAAAGAGAAAATTGTAGGAGTGACGTATCAGATTCTTCAAGTGACCATACAGCAATTAATTGTAATACCTTCTGAATTGCAATATCCACTGCCGGTTTTCCATGAACTTTCCAGTGTGTCTCTAGAAAGGACTGCAAGTTGATAATAACATCAATTCCTTGAAAAAAAAGCTTATCTTTACTACAGTAAAATGTACTCAGTTTACCTGGCACTGCATAAAATGTACAGCAAGCCATGGTGGAATCCATGCTCCATGCACCTGATTCAAAAAAAAAAAAATATCCTTTAGGGCTCGCAACCAAAACCTAATCACCATACGATATATAACATAAGGGGAAAGATGTGCGAAATCATATGATATATAAAGACCAGGGGAAAAAAACAGCATATGTGCGACTGTGAATTGAAAGAAAATAAGCAAACTAAACTTTCGTATCACTTTCAGATTCCAACTGAACCATTGACGGATGAGTTATATAAATTACTGAAAAAAAATTGAGAAATGAACTTTAAAGAACCTTAATTCTATGACAAGCTTAAACAAAACCTTCTATTTCTTAAGAAACTCACTTGAATGATTTTTTCTGAATTTACAACTAGCTCAGAAAGAATATAGACAAACATTGAGAGATAGTTAAAATGACAGAGAGAATCATGCAACTTAATACCTCATTTAACTCTTTTGCTTTTTGAGTAGCTTCAAACTTTGCCCTTAACATTTCCTCCTGAAGACAAATTTAGAAACATAGACTAAGCATAAGCGCCAACCCCCACCTACAACAATGTGCTTCCGCAGAGACTTAAAAATTACCTCAGCCACTTTAAGAGCACGCTCAGTATTACGGATTTTGGTCTTCTGCTCATCATTAGTCTTCTCAATCTGTAAAAAGATCATCAGACATCATTCTACTATCCCCACGGGATAACATTAAGCAAATCTCGAGTAGCATTACACCTAGCATAAAATGATACGAAAGAAAAAAAAGAAGTAGAATTTTTTGTTCATCATTGTATAGAAGTCAAGAAAGTAATACAAAACACTTCTTTTTTGTTCATCATTGTATAGAAGTCAAGAAAGTAACACAAAAAACACCACAGCATCCCAAATTGTGTCTACATTGGTGCTAAAGAAGGATGTAAACTAACAATATTGTTTTGCCCACCAACAGCTTACATTCTAATATTCTATACAAAAGACATTCATATTAACAAACTTATTTCTGTGGGAATAAACAGAGGACTCATCACAAAAAGGACATGAAACGTATTGACAATATCTGCAGACTCACAAAAATACAAACCAAAACAAAATGGTGATCAATTGACCGAGTTAGTTAAAAATATGACAACTTTTGGTATCCTTTATGTTACAATCATTCTTTACTTAATACAGAAACAATATTCTTATTATCAGAATCACTAAGGACTTTCACTATGAGCACATTCAGCTACAAAATAACTTAAATCCCAAATGAGAAAAAAATAACTCACCTTCCCTATTTTTAAAAGCAAAACATCGATCTTCTTCTCAGCTTCATTTGCCCGGGCTTCCAAGCCCTCTTTCTCCTTACGTTGCGATTGTAATTCCTTGTTAAGTTCATTAACCTGCATAGGAGAATGAATTGGCAATTCAGTGGTATTCTCTCTTTTCGCCAACAAGAATGTAGTGGTTTCCACCGAGTAAAACAGTCCACTTAATCATATCTAACCTTTTTCTCTAGTTCACCGGCACGTGCATGAGCCTTCCCAACCAGCTGCTCAGCATCTAATGACCCTTTTTTCTAAAATACAGAAACATAGACAGAAATCAATATGTAGATAAACAAACTGTTACTCGAAAAACATATTGGGTAATTGGTTTTCTGGCATTTCATGGATAAATGCCTAACCTGGAGAGACTCGATTTCACTCTGCAACGAAGAAATGCTATCCGAGTTCTCTTGAATGACTTTCTCCTTCTCTTCTATAAGCTCATTCTTCCCTTTTAGTTCCTTAATCTTCTCACCGACCTCGAATTCTTCAACATTAAACAAACACAAACCGTCAGCCAGGGAAACCCCAAACAGCACTCAAAACACTTAAAAATGCTCGAAATCGAAATTCGACTAATATCGATGTTGTTTCTACTCACAAAGTAACAAGCAATTAAGCATTTTACTGTTCTGATTAAAATTATAACAGATTGAAAAACCAAAGCTGTACAAGTAAGCACCAGAGCTCGGCTAATATGCAGTATTACTTGGATTCCAAAACAAAAACACAAAACTATAAATGGAAATAAATTAAAACACTTCCCAATTGAAAGACCAGAGGATCTCTAATTTTAGTAACATTGGATGGCGAGAAAACCGAGGGAAAAATGGAAATCTGCAAACACTTGAAAACTCACAAATTTCATCCCATAAACCCTAGAATTCGCAGAAGACGACAGAAACGAACCTAGGGAGTGGATCTTAGCCCTGAGCTGATCCAACTCGATCTTCAGAACGGACGAATCAGGGCCGTCCGATCGGAGGAGCTTCACTGGCTCGTCTTCCTCCGCCGGGACTGAAGCGTCAGCGCTAATCTGGGAGCAAATTAGGGCAAGAAAGATTGAGAGAATCGCGAGCTTGGAGGCCGCCATGGGAGCATGCAATCACAGCCAACCAAACTCTCACAGCGACAGTTTATTCGATTTTTTGAGTTGGAGTTCGATTTCTTCCGACTACTAATAGTAAATCTCCTTCATATTTTTTTAGGATATACAAGCATTAAACCGTACCATAAAAAATTATTTTATTACCTTCAGGGTAAAAATGGAAACTGAAATTTAAATGGCACGTGTCGGTTGATAAAGGGCATGTGGACGAGTGGGGATGCGTGGATTTTTGACTCGTGGCAGTTGAGGTACTTGTCAATGAAGGTGGGCCGTTTGGTGCACGTAGCGGGGTGGTTGAGGGTTGGTGATGGTATGAATTGGAAAGTCTGGTATTATTTCAAACATAAGAGTATCCGTCCACAAACGCAAGTAAGGGCATTCATCCACGAACACATGGCATTCGTGCATGCATATAAGTATATCCGTCCGCAGACAAAAACAATGACATCCCTCCACGAATATAAGGGGATCCGTCTACAAACACTGTATGCGCATGCCTCCACAAACACAAGTATGGTACAATGCGGCTCACTTAAGGTCTTCATTTTGAGAACACGCAAAATCTTTTTTTTTTCTTTCAAAACGAGCTCTCTGATTAATCTTGCAGTAGATTAAACTATCAACTTAATTAATCTTCGTTATATCGAAACACAATAATTCTGCAAAGTGATTAAATAAAAAATATTAGTTCCCACGTGAAACCTTTGTTTTCTTCCCCTTCCGCCTCTCTTCCAGATCCCCTTCCTCTCTCCCTCTCTCTCTCAATCACTCACCCACCTTCTCTCCTCCTAAGTTCCTTAATTTTCCCCTTCGCGTATGAAAAAGGGAGAGGGACGTGTTTCAAAATTTCATCGTCGGAATATTTCACATGAAAAAAAATAGTTCACACGTTTAATAAGAGGATCCTAATTTTCAAACGCACACAATCCTAGTACATGGACAGGATTCATATGACTTTAAACCTTCTTTTCATAGCGTCCAGAACAGTGGACTACCGTGGCTTGGCCACTAGCTAGTACCTCTTTTTGAAGGGAAAAAAAAAGAAGGAAACTCACCTCTCTCTCTACTCATTTTGTTCTTTGTTTCTAGTTTTTGGTTTTATCAATTAGTATTTTGTTTCAGTGTAACATAGATTATTTTAGTTGCTAACTTCATCTACCGTAAGATTAAACTGAAAAATCATATGAAAAAAATATTAATGTGTAGAAAGTTAAATAATGTCATTTTTTTTAAATTAATAAGTGTGTTATAACTTATAAAAATTAAAAATATTCATTAAATAGTCAACTATATTTTTTTAATAAAGCAGCTTTTTGCTTTTAAACGGGCCAAAATCTTTTAATGATATGTAATTGAGACCACGAGTTTGAGTTGATGTTCTTTTAGGTTTGAACGTGTAAAAGTGTTGAAATTGTAGAAAGTAGAAGGAATCAAGCTAAAAAGGAAAGTCATAGTTTCAACTAGCAATAGTGCCGCGCGTTGCTGCGGGTCTTAAAACTACTGGATGTAAAAGAAGAAAACAGGTAGTACAAACTTGTAATGGATAGTCTGTAATTAACAGGTTTTTAGTATGTTCATGCTATTTAAACGCAGAAAATATAATAAGAAAAAGAAGCAGAGTGTTGACAAAAAGTGATACACTAAAATTTCAATAGTCGACTATTACAAATATACAAATTAACAAAATGCAAATCAAAACTGACCAATTCAATTAGATAATACTGCAGATTTCATAGGTATTTGTTAAGGTGTAAGCTTATGGCATTAAATTTATGCAAACACGTTAAGTATGTGTAATCTATCATAAATCAAATGTAAACAAAATATGAAAAAATAAATAGGTAAATACGCTTTAAAATCAGTTCACAAAAAAGGGAATTAACATGCCATCACAACTTTTCAAACCGCTATTTTATTTCTTAGGTCTCACCTTCAACCTTCAAGTGTTCTAAAATCGTGGAAGGTGTTGCATATGTCCTTTACTTTGCAAAAACGACACGTGCAAAACAAACCGCCAAATGAAACCTGTAATCATAAACTTTAGAAGCATCAGAACCATAATAACTTGTTTCATACACCTTAATTCCCTTAAGGAAATAAACTTTGAAAGAAATGGAGCAACTCGAAAACAGCAACTAATATTTCTAACCAAAAACCTCTTTGCTTACCAGCATAGAATATACTACAAATATTGCCTCGCGCGTTGCTGCGGAATTCGAAACCATATGAAATAAATATGTTTCAAAGTTATAAGAGATTGTTAAAGAAGGCTAACGTTATTTACACTGAAAGATGTTTGAGCTTTTTGAAAGAATTTTTACATGAAGAACAGAAATTGGGTGAATGAAGATCTTGGAATTCTTTAAACCACTCTATAAATAGCATGACGTGTGAGTGATTGATAGTGTAACAAAAATTAGTAAAAGAGTGTAAGAGTATTATATATATTATATATGAAACTATATTATTGGAACCACTTAATGGAAAGTTGTAGTCCTATGGTATACTCAGTTATAGTTTCAAACCCAATAAAAGAATGCAAGCCAGAATATATACATATAAAAGTAAAAACTATTAAGTTTGAAAGATATGAACGATTGAGATTGCAGAAAACGTGGACAGCAATTGAGAAAAGGGAGCACTAAATTAACTGTTTTTCCTTTCCTTCCCTTCCCTCGCTACATAAACAGTAGAGTAGCTCTATTTTTTCAGTTTTTATTCACGCCATTCTTCATGCCAAGCCAAAATCAACAACTAAATTATAACATGCATGTTAATAATACCATGAAAAATTCCACTTCATTATACATGCATATTATTTTCTTAGTTCATATATGAATTAGATATTATCTCTTCCAAAACCACCAACCAAAATCACTTCTCAAAGAGATTATAAATAGAAGAGAGTGGAAGCTTACCCAAAGCCAATTTCACATAGTGTTGTGCTACTCTCTCCGTTTTCTTATTTTTGACCCAACAATCTCTGCATTTAAATGCATAATGGTTTTTTTTTTATAAAAAAATTTCAGTAAGCCCATGTCAATTCCAGAAAATTTTAAGTTTAAAACCAAAATTAGGCATAATCAAAGATGGACCATTTCATCATCATATGCGAAAGGCAACAAAAACAAATTAAAGGCAGAAACTCAACAACATAAACAATTTAGAGGTTAAGCATCTAAAAGGTACAATCTTAAAGATCATAGAAAATAAGAACTTACTGAGATTATCAGGCAGTTTCTGATTTTTGAATTTGGGATTAAATGATTCAAATAAGCACTTGAAAGAGTGATTGATAACAAAAATCTGAAGTCAACACAACATGCAGTCATCTACAGAGCTCAAATACACATTCACTAAACATAGTCCACCATCAATCCACACACATATTTGGTTAAAGTAAAAAAGCGAGTTTAACCTGTTTTGCCACCAAAACATCTTGAGGATCATCCGTGAGCAGCAGAAAGCAAAGTTTGTACAAAAAGAAGTGTTGTTTTCAATGTTAGGGTGCCTTCAACATATGAGATACATACACCAAAAAAACATTATTAGTGATCCCTATGCATATTGTTTCTCTGAGTATTCCAATTCAGCGGTCCGAGAATCGTACACAGTAGCACTTGGCTGTTTCTCTTACTCTATGAACTGTTTTTTCTTTAAAGCACATTCTGCTGTCAAATAGATTATTCACAAAAATTATGAAATACAATTGTACATTAAGTGCTAATAATTTTCATAAATTGGCTAGTTACATTTCCTCACAACTTGAGTGATGTCTAAAATAAATGATGGAGGAGGTTATAGTTTATAAGTTTCACATTTACATTTACCCACAATTTAAGTGGTATATTTTAACTCCAAACGATGCATAGGTTATCAAGCAGTTACATCATTATTTTAAAAATTCACATCCAATAAGAGTATAAATACACCTAATTGGTAAAATCTTGAGAGAGAGATACCTGACTATGGGTCGACTTGCAATGAATGGCGATGGGTCAACTTGCAATGAACTAAAGAACTCAACTTTTTCTTATGATTACATCACTACCTTCAAGAAATACATTAATCAGTAAAATCAGAAGCGACAACACAAAAGAAAATCCCAAGTAAAGTTCTCATTAGCAGTGAAATTATTAGTATTGCACAAAAAGATTTAGAGATAAGGAGATAATGATTTAAACAATATTATCTCAATCATCATTATGATAAAGAGAATATGTTACTTGTCCAAAACTACCAATCAAGACCACGGATCAAAACTAACTGTAAGATTCCAAATACTTGGATACACAATCCTTTTATAGTTTATATGGATACTTGACACTCATCAGTCTTTATGTACTCCCCTCGTGGCCATGGGACTTTTTTGTGAGAGCATTAGATAGAAGGGCATGCTTCGAGTATTCAAAAATTTTCAATTTCTCAGTTTTCTCTAAACCTCATGATATGCCGATAATAGTTAAAGATGAATAAACAAAATTAAAAAAAAAAAAAAAAAAAAAAAAAAAAAAAAAGAGGGTTAAAACCAAAGGAGAACTAAAATAGAGAAATGAAGAAAGAAAACCATAAATGGAACCCAAACGCAAAGAGAGAGAAAGAGTTAAACCCAAAAGCTTAACCCAATCTCATTTGCATACCATTTGACCATATTAAGAAAAATATGAAATTTGCACCCCCATTTGACAATATTAAGGATAGAGGGTACCCACATTGTTGTAGAAGTACTCTTCTTTGTTATGCTTTTCCTCAAAACTGCCATAAAAAACCCAGAAAGCATAAAAATTTAGAAGCAGAAAAGAAAAGGTTCAAAATTGCGATTGGAAATGCAGAATGTACAGATGGAAACCAAATTGAATTATTATGCCCTCTCTCCTCCTCTCTCCTCCTTCCTCCATATACTGGTAGTTACAGTCAATCTATTTAATTTATTGCCAACTTCATCAAAACAACCAAGAAGTATAAAACAGCAAGGTTAATTCTCACTTTCTTTAATCAAAATGAATTCTGCTTCTGCCCATCTATTTGCACATCCCTTCAACACTCTCAATTAATATTAAGACAGAAAACAAATTGTTGCAAGAAAGAAGCGAGAGGAAACATCGAGAAGGGAAGCCGAACAGTGAACAACCTGTGTAATTTTGTGAAGATTGGCAAAGAGATCCTATAGAGATGGGAGCAAATGACACTGAAATAGGAATCCCAACCCAAATATCATCCCAGAAACAAAACCTCCCCATTTACAACTGTGAAAGGAAGATTACAAAAGAACATGGAAAGGACCTGAGCTTGTCTTTCCATGGGCATCCCCACGACCCTCTAATAAACTCAAATAAGTCATATCATGCAACATGTATTTACTCCATAGTCCATACAACAAAATTCCACACAAAATTAGTTCCCAAGAGTAGCGAAGAAATTATCAATGTTATTTAGTCATGCATTTTCATATATACTTGAGCAATATTACCCTCACCAGTCATTTCCAAGTCAATCCATACCAGTGGCATTTTGTACTCTTCTGGAGGTATCTCTGTAATTTGCTTACTCTGCTTCTCATTTACCAGCGACATGTTATCAGAGTCATTGACTTTTTTCTTGTTATTGCCTACCTCAAAAGATGCATAAAGAGAACAAAGATACTCATATTTTTCAATCCGCATAGAGGGATTATTAACAAATATTCACCTAAGTAAATCATTTATTATGGTTATTACTTATTATATATGCCCAATGCCTAGTTTATCACGAATGTGGCTTACATTTCAAGAAAAAATAGGCTAAGAAATAAGTTTTTTTTGTTGTTTATAAATAAAAATTTATACCTCAGCTTCATCAAAATTGCAGGATCCATTCAAAAAGTACGAACTTTTTTAGAGAAATATTAAGAAAAATAACCTAAAATGGTAGTTCATAGATTCAGTTTTGTTGTAAATGTTAGTATACAGCATCCAAATATATTGGAAAGATAAAAGTAAATAGTAATTAACGAAATTTTCCTAGTAGAACTTAGCCCTGGAAATAGTGGAAACCAGCTCAATTTACAGGAATCAAACAGAGGATAAGAGAAAATTGGTCCGAGAAAATACCATGGTTGCGGATGAGCTGACAACAACAAAAGGGACAGACACCGGCGAAGGGCTGGAGTCTCTGGAACTCTCATCGTCTACTGTGTGGAGTACAGCCTAAAACACTAATGTGCGATTTGTAGTAGGTCTTTGGGTAGAACCAAAAAATCAGCCCTACGCCCATCCCTCCCTCACTCTTTGTCTGTCTCCAATCGCTCAATCCTACCCCTTCTAGGACAACCATACTTCTCCCTCTCTCTCTGTCTCTGTCATTTCAAAGTCACATTCTTTATCAAATTCAACAACTGGATTTTAACAAAAAAGAAAAGAAAAAAAAACTGGATAATTCACACAGATTCAAAAAAAACCTACTCACATCAAGAGTCGAGACAGATATTTCGGAAGCAGCGCAAAGCAGTCATATGGAAGATCAAAGATGTTCTGCATAGGAAATAATAAAATTGAAAAAAAAAATCAAAATTTTAAATTACAACTAAATTTATTCATTTCTTAATTGAAATCCAGAAAAAAATATGCAAAATTTAAGCAATGCAGAGAAAACCCAGATCCCATACCAAATTTGTACTCGAAGCCTTTTTACAAATCACCCAACCATGAATCAGAGAAGTAGAGGATTGAGTATGGGGGAGGAGAGACTGCAAGAGAGAGAAAGAGAAGAGAGAGAGAGAGAGTGTCTGTGTTTGAGCGCAGTGGTGTTGTTGCAGACGGCACAAAGGGATAAACCCAAACCTCAAAGCTAAAAAAAACCCAGAAATCCCCAACAACCTAGACCATAGATTTGAACAATCAAGAAGCCGCTGAATCAAAAAAAAACCTTCAGGGGTTTCTCAGGCAAGAAAAACCGCCGTCGGCAGAGATTTGCGAGCCGATTGAAGCAGAGATTTGTGACAGGAAAGTGGAAACGGAAGGAAAAGTCGAGAAACTTCTAGCCGCTCTAGGGTTTTCAATGAAAGAAATTCGCAAAAGAGTGGGGCAGTTTTCCGGGAAGAAAACCGCCGTGGATAATCGGCGAGAGAAAGATGCGAACGTTTGACGTTTGATAAGAAGAAGCGGAGGAACAGCATCAGTGAACCTTTGAGCTTTCTAAGAAAGAAAAGTCGAGAGAAGCAGAAAAGAAAGAAGAAGAGTGCGACCCGTCAACTCCTTTTCCACGATGACCAACACGTGGATATCGGGGCAAAATGTAAATTCAATGTTCAAAACAGAGAAAAAAGCTTGAGAATTAGCAGCAGCCAAGGGCATTTTTGCCACTTTACTGTCCGTAAACAGTACACCCGAGTTTGGATTTTAGTATAAAAATAATTTTAAGATATACGTTACAACATTTGGTTATTGGCAGCAGAAACACAAAACACTCTTCAGTAAAAAAAAATTAAGAATCTGGAAAAGTCATTAGAATAATGTGAGACTTAAACTTTTTAATGCATATTTCCAATATGTACAAATTGTTTTATTTTACATGATCAAATTTTAATCTAATTTAATCAGAAAATTCTAATCTAATTTGATATAATATATATGTCCCCAAGGATTTGATCATATTACCAATTATCAAATCACATTTTTCTACTCAGTTTCCAACTCATTTCAAACTTATTCAAAAGGCCAATTCGGTCTACTTATCCATATGCTGTTGGGTTTTCCTGTGCGAGCTAGCTTACCACCAAAGTTCAAATCTTTACCAATATCCCAACACAATTCTCTCTCTCTCTCTCTCTCTCTCTCTCTCTCAACATTTTCCACTCAGTTTCCAACTCATTCAAGTGCAAAGGAAAGCTGAATCTGCATGCAGTAGCTAAAGCTCAAATCTTTACCAAGTAATTTTCTCTTTCTTCATCTAATTATATACCAAAATATGAAGCTTTACCCTTTCAATTTCTTCTTCTTCTCATTTCTTCCCAAAAAATACAAATCCATTTTAATCCAACAATTATCAATGCATCTACAAACTGGTTCCTTGAAAACCACTAAAGTAGAGTTGGAAAAAGTGGGTTAGTCATGACGAAATTTAAGAAGTCACTAAAACGAAAGCTCGTACAGATAGCAAAGTTCAAATGTTGTGCAAATAATCGAAAATCGTAAATGTGGAAATTGGTGAAATTGCAAACCTCCTTGTATTCTATGTATCCAATGATTGCAAAAATAATAATAAAACAAAGATCGATCTCATGCACTAAAAAAACAACAAACAAATATCAGAGCAGCATTAACATAATAATAACGACATACCAGGGGCACCAGCAGAAGTAGCAGATACTAAAAAAACAACAAACAAATAGGAAAAAAAAAAAAGTAAGTCGTCAATCTTAATTTCCAAAAAACCTATAATAAATAAAAAGAGAGGAGAGAAGAAAGACAAACATCCACAGTCGGCCACAGAAGGAAAGGAGACGTTGGAAGCAGCGAGGAGGGAGGCGGCTCTTGTGATGTTCAAAACGACACCAAACGGAGCGCTGCTCATGAAAACCACAACTAACCCAAAACAAAATCATTACAGTTTCATCCAAACTAACAAAATTACAGAATAAAAACTGAAAGACAGTAGTTATGAATCACACCTCAGTTGTATAAAATTTATTTCCCAACGATCTAAAGACAAAGACGAACGCAAAACCTTTGAAATATGCCCCCCGATCGCAACTCTAGAAATAGAGACCAATTTTATGAGGATGGACACAACACCCACAACTCCAGGTTTAAAAAGATGCAAAACCCTCCTCAAATTAGAGACTAGAAATAAGATCTCTTAAAACACGAAAAGCAAGAACTTTCCCCCAATATTTTTCGATGCAGAGACCACAATATTTAAGAAGCAGATAGAAGCACATTTTCGTGACTGAGATCACAAGGTGGGAGAGCAAGAGAAGGCGGCGTTGGAGAGTGAGAGAGACAGAAGCAGAGAATTGTGAGAGAACGAAATCCAGAAACGAAAGAAAAAAGTCGAGAAGAAAAGTGGAAGCAGTCGACGCACTACGATGATCGACGCGTGGAAGACATGTACTAAAAAGGGCAGAGCAAAACCCAAAAAAAGAAAAAGACCAGAGACGGAGGAATAAGAGATGGGCTCCCAGCAAGGACAAAATGGACTTCTTACTATAGTAAAGTGTGAACAATACGGGGACCAAAGCAGAAACCAAGGGCAGTTCCGCCCAGTCCCAGCTAAAGATCCATACAAAAGTGCGGAAGAACAAAGACATGAGAATTTCCCTTGCGCGGTTTGAGTTGGCTATAACTTACAATTTGGACTTGCAATTTGGGCTGCCTATGTCACAACTTAACGAATTCATACAATCATTCAAAGCATAGAAATACAAATTGATACACATTTCAATATGTGAGGGGTACAAAATGGTTATAACTTATCTTCAATCGAAAAGACTAAATATAATAATGTCTAAAATTATATTCCTGCAAAAATTATTGCTAAATGAACAGTGTCAGACCATACTCATATATTATCTCCAACCGAATGGGCTAATTATAGCCCCCTCAATAATTTATTAGTTTTAAGTTCATACTTTAAATTTATTGATTAATTTAATTAAACTATTGTTGAATATTTTCAAATCTAGCCATTAAATTTAAATAAGTTATTGGAGCTAGGCCAAGAAAAAAAAAAAAAAAAGTTAAAAGGAGGGTTACATTTGACCAGCCTGGTGCTCATTTGACTGGACTCCATAGAATTATAGTCCAGTCATCGGTTGGATATGAATTTTTGAGCAAATTAGGCCCTTTTTTGTTTTTTGAACTTTTAACCCTTTCATTGGGGATATCTTAATATCCATGAGGTAAGTGCTTCAGTTTTGGTTGGGTTTACTTATGTATGCTTTAATTCTATTTGTTACTGGTTTTTATTATTATTATTATGCTACTCCGTACTTGGAAGGAGGTTGTGAAACCGATCGAAGGAGGTTATGTTGGTCCTCTATGTATCTTGAGTTTGATTACAATCAAGCAAGAGGTGGATAAAATTAGAACTATCTGAAATCCACGTGCAGAAATTTCATTTTATTTTACTTTTTCTTGGGTTTTCTTGTGTCGTGTGTGGTGTGTTCACAATCGACTGCTTTGAATTAATCCACATGCAACAATTATTGAATCAAAACTTCATTAAACAGTAAACTCGTTTTATGTAACTTAAAACGCTTCAATAGCACACCAAAAACGCTTTACTTTCTCCAAAGAAAACTTTCCAACCTTGAATTTAAAATCATTTTTATATGCAGCATTGGTTTTTTGATTTTTTGTTACTTTCTTTCTGTGCCCACTGCGGGACAGCAGTGCAGTCTGCAACCTCTCCACATAAGGCTTCTTTACACTTGACTGGCTGCAACAAAGTTCTGCAGTCTCAATTCGTATCTGCATCTTAATAATTTCTGTCCTTTTTTGTTCCTACCAAATTATACCAGATTTTAAATTCCTAAGTTGACATACATACACTTAAGAATTTGTCATACGTGAATTCTAACATGCACTTTAGAATTGTCATTTTCTTAAATTAATTTTATAGGTTTTTTTAGCAACGTTTCTTAGAACTTGTATCTAATTTCATTTTACTTCCTGTAACTCAAAAGTCATCATTTTACTCTTTAAAACTCAAAGTTCACTAAACCTTGCCCATTGAAACTCGATTTTAATCTCATTTTGTCCCATGAAATTTGAAAATCGTCTCTGTAAAACTCAAAATTCGCTCCACATTACCTTAGATATTTTAATTTATTATGTCGGATTGATTCGGGTGTGTCAGGCTAATCAATTTCTTTTTTCTTTTTTTTGCATCTCTTCAATTTTTTTTGAAATTTAATATTATCTTATTGTTGAATGTTAATGCATAATGAAGATTTATAATCAAATTTGGATTTATAATCAAATTTGTTGCATATGTAGCATAGTCTTATTGGGTGTTGGATCTCACTTATGTTTTATGAGGCTACCCACTTATGTTTAAGGATGCTACCTATAAGTTTCAAGAGAAGAGAGAGTCCACAAGTTAAATTGAAACACTTTTTGTGTTTCAGGAAGCAAAGTGGTAACATTTAAGTTATAGGGGGCAAAGTGATTGAAATGAAGTTCCAGATGGTGTAACTAAAAATAAGTTTAACTTATAATACAAATTTAAGTTGGAGTGTTAATATTTTTCATGTAATTTCTTACACTTTAGTCATCTAACATTTTCAACATTTTATGCATTGTAGACATGACATGTGCTTACAAAAAAACTAGTTGCAACACTGTTTATGACTTGTAATAACCCAAGCAACTTCACAAAATTGCACACTTCATGTAATTTCTTACACTTTAGTGACCACGTTGTTGTAAATTAAACCAAAAACCAATCAAGCAATAAACAAAAACACAATGATTTCAGAGTTCATCCAATATAGAAGTACCTCTCTAACAACGGAAGCTTTATTGATTACCAACAAATACAAGAGAACTCACAAACACAAAATATTCTCAAGTATACAAACTTATGCCTCTCAAAAACTATCACACACAAAACTCTATCACACATCCATCTATTTATACTAATAGATGTCATAGCTTTACACAACGTCCCTAAAATATAGGAAACCAAATCCTATACTAAAACCAAATCCCAAACCAACTAGGAAACATAAATTCAAATATTTTGCGTCCAAGATATCCTAATTCTTTTTAGTTTAGGCACGTTGATTTAATGCCAAATCAAACAATCTCCACCTTGGCATGAAATCCATAACGAGGCATCAAATAACTTCCATTGCTCCACCATATTGCAAGATCAAACTTGCTTCACTGCACCAAATCCAAGCAGTGCTTGAACTTAGCTGCATTAACCACTTTTGTCAACATATGAGCTGGATTATCTTCTATAGCAACTTTTTTTAGATGAATCTCACCTTCAGCTACCACTTCTTTCATAAAATGATATCGTACATCAATGTGCTTATTCATAGCCTAATGTACCTAATATTTGGCCAAATGAATGGCACTTTGGCTGTCACAATATACATCCAGCTTGTATTGTTCTACACCTAAATCTCATAACAACCCCAGAGTCCACATTGCTTATTTGATAACTTCAGCGATCGCCATGTATTCTGCTTCTATGGTTGATAGTGTCACCGTTGGTTGTAATATGATCTCCAACATACAAGACCTTTTGCCATAGTAAACGCATACCCAGTCATCGATCTTCTCTTGTCTAAGTCTCCAGCAAAGTTTGAGTCCACATATCCAACTGAAAACTTATTAATTCCTTCATCACATATTTCAAAATAAATACCTTTGTCCCTCGTTCCATGTAAATACCTTAGTATCCAC